AGCGGGGAGGGGGAGAAGAGAGAGTGAGAGAGAGAGAGAGAGAGGGAGGAGAGAGAGATGAGCGGCGAGGACGAGAGAGAGGAGAGCGGAGCGAGAGAGAGAGAGAGAGAGAGGAGAGGAGGAGACAGAGCGCAGTACGATACGCAGCGGGAACGGCCAGGGAGAGAGATGAGAGAGAGAGCGAGCAGAGAGGAGAGAGAGAGAGAGAGGAGGAACCGGAGAGAAGAGAGAGAGAGAGAAAGCGATTCGCGAGCGAGAGAGATAGTATTACGTTCACGGCTAGGTGATCTCATTAACTACAGCTTTAGGCAGGGTTGTCCAATTACATCAGCAGCAGTACGGGGCTAACACGACCCCGCACATGAATAGACCGCCGTAGCCAGGACAACGATGAATACTGGTCCGCACGTAGCTAGGATGCATGCCCTCAGACACGCAGCACGCTAGAATGTGTGCGTATAGAGTGGATGTATGCAGCAAGGAGGGCAGGAGCGATGCATTGTTAAAAGGCGACGCATGATCGTATCGTGTCGTTAGAAGACGACGCATGATCGTATCGTGTCATTAGAAGGCGACGCATGATCGTATCGTGTCATTAGAAGGCGACGCATGATCGTATCGTGTCGTTAGAAGGGACGCATGATCGTATCGTGTCGTTAAGCCCGGCGCACATGTGAGTTATTTTACTCAAGTAAATGACGCATGACGTCAAATTACTCAACGAAAGTCCGCCGCACACCTGAGTACAAATGGGCACGATGCGTCAAATTACTCAACGAACAATCCGCCGCACACCTGGAGCTTAAAATGACCTCATTGCCGTTATTTTACTTGCAGTAAATAATCTCTCTTCCCTTTCTCTTCCCCCCTTCTCTCTCCCTTCCCCTCTTTCTTTCTCTCGCTTGCTCTCTCTCTCTCTGTCTCTCTCTCCTCTCTCTCTCTCTCTCTCTCTCTCTCTCTCTCTCTCTATCTCGCTCTCTGTCTGTCTGCCTCTGCCTCTCTCTCTTTCTCCCTTCCGCTCTGCTAGAATCAATAGACTGAGCGCAGCACCGCACCTTACGACCCACGTACAGCTTATGTCTTCGTTAATGGCCACGAAGTCCGTCTCGCCGAAAATCAGCAAAATATTTAAAAAGATCATCGCGCGTCAGGGAATGGGCGCGAGGGGCGATCAGTGAACATACGTAATTACATCTCTGCAATGTCAGCGCGCTATGCAGCTCATCCCTCTGATTCTAAGCGGAATGTGGAGAAGAAACGCGAAATGCTATGGCGGCGAGTAATTATGTAATTAGATGGTAATGCTTTTTTAAAATTGATTACGTCACGAATTTTCTACGGTGTATATTTGTTTAAAATTTTATTGCTATTTTTTTTTACATAAGTAAGTACTAACGGGACTAAATGTATCCTTAAATTCTCACTTGATAAGATTGTTTCTCAATTAGTTAAAAATCCAATTATTAAACCTGAGCGATTTGATAATATGATCATGACATTAAATGCTTTCTATGGGCTATGTATGAGTCACGAGAGTGTTTGTTCACATCGAACGAAATCGCAAAATAGGAAGTATAATTCGGCAATTTGACCGTATAAAGTGAACAGAATCACTTACATTTTGTGGAAAAGTGGACATAATTTTTTTTACTTTTACGATTTACGGTGACGTAATCACTTTAATACCCGTGCCTCGTCCTCGCTATTGTGCGGTATCTGCAGCGAGCTCAGAGGCGAGAAAAATCATTCGGGCGGCAGGCGCGGGGGGGGCGGCAGGCGCGGGGGGGGGGGGGAATAAAAATAATTACTGCGTGCGTGTCGGATCAATTTTAATCGAATAATTGCGCCATGAGCTGGGGAACGCAATTAGTAATTCGCTTAGTGGAGCGATTTAACTTAGCGAAAGCTTTCCGTTAAAACATTTACCGAGCACGTATATAGTTAGTAACCAGCACGCAACGCGGTTGAGAGCATGATAGGATTTCGAAAAAGGTTTTATGTTCTCACGTCCAGCGACCATGGAAACACAGGCACTTGAAGCGTTTCAATAAAATATAATGCTAACTAAATACGAAATCTATT